TGTGTGTGTTGTGTTGTGTTGTGTGTGTTGTGTGTGTATGTGTGTGTGTCTGTGTGTGTATGTGTGTGTATGTTGTGTTGTTTGTGTGTATGTGTGTGTGTGTGTGTGTGTATGTGTGTGTATGTGTGTGTGTGTGTGTATGTGTGTATGTGTGTATGTGTGTGTGTATGTGTGTGTATGTATGTGTGTCTGTGTGTGTGTGTGTGTGTGTGTGTATGTATGTGTCTGTGTGTGTATGTATGTGTCTGTGTGTGTGTATGTGTGTGTGTGTGTGTGTATGTATGTGTCTGTGTGTGTATGTATGTGTGTGTGTGTGTGTGTATGTGTGTGTCTGTGTGTGTGGAGAAAGAGATACCTTCAAAGGGTGGCGCTGGAGCAGAATCATGACTTTGGAAGTTCACCAATGTAGGCTGATGCACAAATCTCAGGACTTACATAACAGAGGAAGAAGTGATGCCATTTGTAATAAAACTACGTTGTCTGCCCTTGCCCTGCAGGGCCCAGCCAGTGGTCAGGGGGAGGCAGCCCTCTGGGGCCTACTCACCCTTATCTCCCTTAGGCTTCACACAATTGAGGCAGAGCTGCATACTGCTTGTAGTTTGCTTAGACAATTATTTATTTCCCATAGATGATGCAAAGGTACACCTTTGTTCAGTCCTAAATATTAGGTTTTTGGTGGATTCATGCTTGGGGCAAGGGATGCCTGCATATATTGATTTATTTTTAATTTCTCTGATCATTTTTCATTTATTTCATTGCTAAAGGCATGTCTCGCTCCCATTCTGTCACAGGCATCTTTAAGGGGAAAACAGCCCAACCCTGAAAGACTTTAAAGGCAGATAAGGCTTCCCTCTTTATCTGGCCAAGGGAAATTAGCCTGGGCAAGAGTTCCAATGAGTCAGCAGAGCTTCGGCTCTCTCCAGAAGTCAACCACCAGTTCAGCCCAGCTGACCAACATTCCTTTCTCCCAACTGAAAAGTAAACCATCAAATCTCACAGATGACTGGATTGCAGTCTCATTATTGAAAAAGTTGGTCCTGACTCTCCGGGAAGGGCACCAAATAACTAGTCTCAAATGCACCTGGTTTTGATTTCAAGCTGAAGCCCCTGGTCATGTGCTTCCCTCCCTGGCTATTGAATTTCCAGAATTGCTTCTCTTGGGATCACCTAAGAGGCAGGCACCAGAAGGCCCACATTTTACAACCTTGTAAAAAGACCCCCTCCACTTCAAGAATATTTTCAGTGAAACTCCCACACTCAGGTGGCTGAAGCGGAAAGGTCAGTTCACACTTGACAAGTTAGTAAAAGTTCATAGACTAATGTATGGAGGAGATTCTCCCATCATCTCACACACCCACCAGGATCTGAAAAACTGTGAACTGACTATTCAGGCTGCCGTTGACGAGGTCCAGTGGGGTTTCTTCTCTCTTAAGAGAAAGGAGTCAGAATCCAAATGACCTGGATAAAGCACAGCCTTATTTTAAGAAATGGGATTACTTGGCAGAGAATCAGAAACTTTCTCTTGGAAAGGAGAGCATATATAGCAAAAGTTGTTGCCTAATCTTTAAGATGAACAAATAATAAAAATAGTATTTTTTAAATATTCATTTTAACAAGCTGTAATAATTCGACTTTCATCTGTGAATACACTCTCTGTTCTGTGGTCAGTAGGCTTCCTCTATTTTTAGTAAGTTTTCTTATCATTTCAAACATAATTTTTAAGAGGTAGGTAAATGAAAGCTATTGTACTGATTTTCAAGATATGAAGGCCCAGAGGAGAACACTAGCAAGTCAATGCCAGAATGGGAAATAGTCTATGTACGCATTTATCACATAGACTTATATTGCCTGCTTCCTTTACATCCTTCCCTCTGCTCCTCAAGACCTTCCTGTGCCCACTGAGCGAAGTCTACCCTCAATGGCCTGGCACTGAAGGCTTCGCACAGTCTGGTGAAACCAAATCTCTCCATGACTCTCCAGCTAAGACTGTTTCCTGAGGGCACCTCCCAGAGCTGTGTTGTCCTTTAGCTAGGATGACAATTTCCTCTCAATATCAACTGTCAACGAGTAGCCCCTAGGCTTGTGGAAAGAGCTGGGACAGGAGGCCACATAGGCCTGGCTTCAGATCCCAGTTCTTTCCTCACTCGAGATAAGCCTTTGGGCAAGTCCCTTAACCTCTCTGAGTCTGAGATTAGACAATTGTGAAATGGGGATGATACCCCCATAGGTTGTTTGTTGCAAGGATAAAATTAAGAATACTTACATAATATGCCTAAAAGTGCTTGGCACTCAGCACATTCTCTGTAGATGGCCACTAGAGCTAATCTTTTCTGCAAACCCTTCCCTAATGACTCCAGTTACTACTGATCTTCTTCTGACAATTGGAAGTTTGTACCACTTACTTTCTGCTATCTTTTTACTTCATTTTGTGTACCTCATGTCCCCAAATAGCCTGCAAGTGGCAGAACAGTATCAGCTGTTCTCTCTGTGTCCACTCCCCACTCCACACCATTGGTCACTCAGTGTTAGGCTTATTAGCCTCCTTTCTGTTGGAAACTTAAATTTGCCTTGGGACAGAGAAAGTGCTACACCCTAAGATTCAGGTAATGGGGTTCTCTTCTGCCATGGACCTTGCCTCAAAGCAACATGGGACTCCAGGATCTGCTGCAATGCCAAGAAGTTTACTTATACTTTAGGCATTTCTATTTACTAAAAGCAAGGGCAATTTAAATAATTTTTATCTCTTACATGGGATTTTCTTTTTTCTGACATTCTCTTCTATCCTTTTCCCTTTTTGGCCCCAGTAATATAACTTCAATTTTGGAATGAAAGTTAGGGGATGAATATAATTTCATCTGCAGAAATGAGCTGCCTGTCTAGCACAGAGGTCATCAAGTTTTAATGTAAAAGTTGAAATAGTAAATCTTTCCAGCTTTCAGGCCATTCTGTCTCTGTCATGATGACTTGACTCTGGCATTGCTGTCCACAAGCAGCCAGGGAAAATACATAAACAAGTGGGTGTAAAACTTTATTAACCACTATGGGCAGGGGGCTGGATTTGGCCTCTGCCTGTGGTCTGCCCAGTTCTGGTCTAGCCTACCACTTCTGAGGACACATTCTGCAATTAGGATTATGTAAGACAAGACTTCACTCTACTTTGACAGTATTTATAGTTCTCCAAAGAATCGAATGAAGTCTGATTTTGTGAGTCATAATGGAAATACTAAGGTGGGTGGTTGTGAAAGAAATCCCAACATTAGAAAATACAGGCATTCTAAAGATTAATGTCTGGGCAAAAGAACACACTGTGTTTTTCTACTAAAAAACACGAAATGAGAAACAAGCATGGTGGGGAAGTGGCCACTACCCAAAGCTTCTTGAGTATGCCCCACATTTACAGTTTGCCTGGGTTTAGAGACACTGCCCTTTTCCAAGAGCCAGAGGCCCCAAATGGAAACTTTACCCTTCCTTTTTGCTGTCTATGAATCAACAGAAAGATTCCTCCTGTGACCCTTGGACTCCTGAGGAGGACAATGCAGCGCTCCAGGCTGTTTTCTCCAGCACGTTCATGGTGGGTGGATGAGATTCCCTCTCCATCCCAGCACAGTGGTGGGCTTGTTCAGGCTTGGCACGATGGGCCAACAGCCCCAACCCGCCTGGACAATAGGAACATTCAACAATCTGTAAGTTGGAGGCTCAACTCATTTGTCTTTTATATAACTACATTCTTTTTTTCCATAAGGGGAATACTTAGCTAGGACTTAAATCTTTCTATAAGTGTATTGTTAGCTAGTTGGCACCAGAAAGTCTAAATTTATGCCCTCTAACAAACCAATTCAACTGAAAACATATTTGTCAAGCAATTACATAATTGGAGAAAAGAGCTGATGTTCTTTTTGCATAGTTCCATCTAATTTTGAATGACACCTCTTCTTGCCCCTGCTGATTTCTGGGCCCATCCCTTCAGAAAGCCCCTGTCCTCCTGTTTCTATTCGTGAATGCATTCCAGCACAAACAGAACCATAAGCCTTGTCTGCCTCTGCATCTTGGCCCCTACCTTCACAGGCCACACTGGTCCTACTCCTGTTGCCACCCTATATGTACCAGGCCCCTAGATGGCTATGAATCAATCCCCCATTGTCCACTCAAATCAATTCTCACCCTCTCTGGGTGCTTTGTAGGTTATGAGCAAAAAGAGTGCCAAAAGCATTGAGGATCCAACACTTTCTCTGTCTGACAGACTGCCTTAAGCACTGTGGGACATTTATTATCCTTGGCTCCTGCATACCTAGTGCCTGTAGCAACGACCCCATTATGGTGATGACCCAAAATACTCCCCTCCTCCCAAATTTCCAGATGTCCCCACCCCAGCTCAGCCACTGTGGGCACAAAGGAGGGATAATGTCTACTTTAACACCCCAAAGAAAGATGCCCTAGGCCGGGCGCGGTGGCTCAAGCCTGTAATCCCAGCACTTTGGGAGGCCGAGACGGGCGGATCACGAGGTCAGGAGATCGAGACCATCCTGGCTAACACGGTGAAACCCCGTCTCTACTAAAAATACAAAAAACTAGCCGGGCGAGGTGGCGGGCGCCTGTAGTCCCAGCTACTCCGGAGGCTGAGGCAGGAGAATGGCGCAAACCCGGGAGGCGGAGCTTGCAGTGAGCTGAGATCCAGCCACTGCACTCCAGCCCGGGCTACAGAGCAAGACTCCGTCTCAAAAAAAAAAAAAAAAAAGAAGAAAGATGCCCTAACATTTTATATCTTTTTTTTTTTTTTTTTTTTTTTTTTTTTTTTTTTTTTGAGACAGAGCCTTGCTCTGTCACCCAGGCTGGAGTATAATGGCATGATCTCTGCTCACTGCAACCTCTGCCTCCTGGGTTCAAGTGATTCTCATGCCTCAGCCTCCCGAGTAGCCAGGATTATAGGTGTGCACCACCACGCCTGATTAATTTTTGTATTTTTAGTAGAGATGGGGTTTCACCATGTTGGTCAGGCTGGTCTCGAACTCCTGACCTCCAGTGATCCTCCTGCCTTGGCCTCCCAAAGTGCTGGGATTACAGGTGTCAGCCACCGTGCCCAGCTAACATTTTATAGCTTTGAATTGCCAAAGTTTGCAATGAGGTCAGCTGCCTTCACCCCATATTTTAACACTTTGGGGAAAGAGGATTTCTGGCCTTCCATGAAAAAAAAAAACAACCTAAAGATAAGGTTGGAGAGATGACAATGTAGTGGGAAGACAAGGGGAAAAGGGAACACCTAGATCTAGAACCTGGAAGTATCTCTTAGGGTGTTTTCACTTGTGCTCACCTGGAGCTTCTAATACTTCCGGAGGGCTTGAAACCAACTTTTTCTTGCTGGTGTGAGCTGACTGGGTGTCAATACTAGGGTCACAAATATGAATGATACATACATATAAATGCAGAGAGGATTGGAAAGATTCCTACCAAGCTGAGTAAAAAGAGGAGTATACTGGGTGGGGGAGATGAGAAGAGACTTTGTTTTCTTCTAATACAGGAGGTACCAATTGCTTGAAGTGAATGCAGGCAGCCTGGCTCCAGGACCTATACTCTTTGCTATGGGATCTCTTCATCTGTCTGCATCCCTGCTGCCCTTATGCCACTGGGATCAGCCAACACAATGGGCAAACCATAAAGCCAGGTGATCTTTGTAGTTCCTCCATTAACTATGATTATCTATGATTATCTTACAGAAAAAAAGGAAATGCCAAAGGGAAAAGCAAAAAGGAACAGACATATCCAGTTTCAATACATTCTCTTTAAACAAACCAGGTTTATTTGCAGAATACTGCGTTTCTGTTTTTCATTGCTTGTTTGCTTTTCCTGATGAAAAGTTTCTTACCTAACGAGCTGACCTTTCTTCTGGATAAAATGAACAAAGAAGTTGGCGAACAATGATGCCATGAATCTTACTCTTTGCAGAGTTTCTAAAACAGGATCTAACTTTCGACCCAAACAAGTTGACAAGGTTCCTATAAGCCACAATTTCTCCGGCAGATTTAGAGGCGAAAGTTTAAAGAGAAGATAAAAGGGTAAGGAGTAAAGTTCTAAGGACCACATGCACAACTCTCCGATTGACTCTGACTCTGGGTAGCAGGCCTTGCCTGCTAACAAAACTAAGATGGAGCCAAAGGTCAGAAAGCTTTGGCAGAGAAAGCTATTTTGCCAATGACACATGCTGACAGAATCAGGGTATGAGCAACGATAGAGGCATTATCTGGAAAAAATCAAGCTTTGGGGCATTACAAGTTTGAGGAATTTAACAGAGTAGTGATTACAGCCCTGGAAAAACCAGATTTTAAGCAGAGTTTTACTTTCAAGAGACATCTTGGAGAAACTGGTCCACTGGATTTCAATACCTTCTTATGGAAGTGGGGATGTCAGATCTCATTAAGAACCAAATTTGGAGAATGATGAAAGAAAAGTACTTGTTTATTGACATAGCAAACATCATCCCCACTGTGAAACAAACATTAATCTAAGAGGTCCATACAAACCCTTCTGGCTAAGCATCGACTTAAAACTCAAATCCTGTCTAATTTGTTCTGATCTTGCCCACTGACCTTTCTCTGCTGTTAAGGAACAGATGGGTTTGCACCCTGAAGGAACACAGTTTCTAGGTTCCTGACCTTCTATACTGAATGAGTTGCCAACTTGAAGATCTGTATTATTTCTTGCTGTAGTTGTGTCCAAAAAAATAAAACAGTCATTTAAAAAATTTAAGAGTCCTGGCCGGGCACAGTGGCTCACGCCTGTAATTCCAGCACTTTGGGAGGCCAAAGCAGGAGGATCATAAGGTTAGGAGTTCGAGACCAGCCTAACATGGTGAAACCCTATCTCTACTAAAAATACAAAAATTAGCCAGGCATGGTGGTGTGTGCCTGTAATCCTAGCTATTTCGGAGGCTGAGGCAGGAGAATCACTTGAACCCGGGAGGCAGAGGTTGCAGTGAGCTGAGATTGCGCCACTGCGCTCCAGCCTGGGTGACAGAGCGAGACTTCGTCTCAAAAAATAAAAAATAAAAAAATTTAAGAGTCCAACAGAGACCTATAATTTCAGATGTGCAACAAATATATACCAAAGAGTACATAAGAAACTACAGAAAATATTTATCCATAATGATCAATTAAAAACAGGGAAGAAAATCAAGTAGGAAAGAAAGAATATAAAAACAGAATTGCAACAGCCTGTTCAATCCTTTCCATAAATACTTTAAGATCTGAAAAATGATTTTCCAGGTCAAAAAAATTGCAATGCCATAAAAATCAAGCAATCCTTATGATTCACTTAATTTTAACAAGTTTTTGCTCGTAAGAAAATGTCAGGTTTTTTTTGTTTGTTTTTTTAACATAAGCCTAGATGAAAATCTGGGCTTTATTCACATGTAACTGACTTGGAGCCCCTACCGTACATACCTTTGTTGTGCACGAAGTCTCTATGACATTGCCCTCCAGTCTTCACTAGTGGGGATGTTATCTTATGCACATACGCCAAGAGCTTAAACTGTCAGCAAAGTCTAGTTGATCCAATGAATCCAGTGATCTTTTTTTTTCTTTTTTGAGACGGAGTCTCGCTCTGTCGCCCAGACTGGAGTGCAGTGGCTGGATCTCAGCTCACTGCAAGCTCCACCTCCCGGGTTCCCGCCATTCTCCTGCCTCAGCCTCCCGAGTAGCCGGGACTACAGGCACCCGCCACCTCGCCCGGCTAGTTTTTTTGTATTTTTAGTAGAGACGGGGTTTCACCATGTTAGCCAGGATGGTATCAATCTCCTGACCTCGTGATCCGCCCATCTGGGTCTCCCAAAGTGCTGGGATTACAGGCTTGAGCCACCACGGCCGGCCTTCAGTGATCTTACTAGGATAACCATTTACCTCTTGTGCCATCAAGGAAGTTGGCCACAAAATACTGTTCAGAGGGGGTAAAAAGTCACTTTGCCAAACATGGTTCATATGGTCCCACTTTGGTTAAAAGTATTCTAAAAAGCAGCTGTGTATTTATGGTGTGTGTGTGTGTGCATGTGTGTGTGCTTGCTTACAGACACAGAAACAAACTTTATCCCAGGGTATGGGGCCGGGAGAGTATGCACATCCACTCTTGACTACCTATACTTATGGGCAGGGCTAGATTTGTTAGATTGTTTTTTAAACAATCAGTGTTAATTTATTTTTGCAATTAAATACAGGTTCTTATCGACACATTAATTTGTACTGTGTTTTATAATTTACAGAAGGCTCTTGCAGAAACCCTGTTCCCTCCACTCTCTGATGAAGTCAACGCGAGAACGCCCGCACCTCACCTCGGCACTCCACGTCAGGGTCTCCCCAGAAGAGTTCCTGGCACTCGCTGCAGGTGCGGCCTCCAAACCCAGGCATGCACTGGCACTGCCCTGTGAACTGTGGCCAGAACACAGACCTTAGTCAAGCAGGCTTCAGGCCAGAAGCCAGTTGTCATCTTTTTTTTCTAGCTGCCAGTTAGAAGTGGGAATGAACTGTTCACCTGAGAAGGTCTCCATTGACTAGGAAAAGGGACTTCTGCTTCGATCGTAGGTGTCGAGAGCCCCATGCCAGCATCTAACTGCTCTTTTGCAGCAGGGCTTGGAAAGGTCTGTGGCATATTATTGTTTATTTACCTGTTCCCTCACTTTTATCCTCACAGATCAGCCACAATCCTGGGCCACCTTTGACTCGCCTGACTTAGGGAGTATGTCCTCCTTAGTATGTGTCAGGAAACAACAGCACTTTTTACAATGCTGGGTATGGCTAATTGGTTCCTTTCAAGTTGAGAAGCTAAGAAAAAAGTCTGCTTCAGCGGCCAGGTACTGAAGAGAAGAAGAGAAATAGCACACCCTTGTCTATTCTTATGTGAGTCTGCATCTGCAGCTGGGACCCTCTATTGAAATGCTATGGGTGTGTCTGATGGGGAGTCTGTGCACAGTTATATAGACCCAGCCAAGGGGTACAAATGAGGGCTGAGATCCAGGCCACGCTGTGTTTGCCAAGCCATGTGCCCTGGGGCCTTGCTGTAACTGGGGCAAAGTCACCATAAGCTGACCCCTGGGCTCATAAAGGCATCATCCCCAGCAGCAGTCCCTCACCTCATTGCAAGATGGCCCGAAGGAATGAGCAGTGTTGCAGTTGCATGGGTCACAGCCAGTGCCACTGGCCAGCTGCCAGGTATTAGGTGCACAGCGGTCACAGTTCTGCCCGATCACATTAGGAAGACACAAGCACTGACCAGTGGCTTTGTCGCACTGGCAGTCAGAGCCGTTACAGTGCTCTTGCACGGTGCCCAGGTAATTACAGACACACTCTGAAAAAGAATATCACATTTACTTATTGTCACACTCCCAAATACACAGGCATGCAGAGACGTTAGCCACATCTAAACGCTAAGATGTTCCCACTTCAGATCCTGACCTTGAAATGCAAAGAAGGAAAGAAATGGAGGTGATTCAAAAAGAAAGCTAAAATTATTGTTGTTTAGAAGTTCTCATGATGTCTTACACAGTTCTGACATTTCCCAGATACACACAATGATACATTTCACCTAAAAGTATGTTCAAAATACACAGATTTGACAAGATGCTGGTGAGTCATTTTAAAATTGAAGGTTTAACTGGAAATAATAAAAAAAAAATGCCAGTGGGAATTGAGATATCTAATAATTTCAAACTCTTGGCAGGGAACAGCAGTAATAAACGTGTCGGACATAGCAGGTAAAAGCCCTTTAAGCTACTAAGGCTTTAAGGAATCCAGTCCTGCTGGTCGCTAGCATTCCACACATGTTTGTATAAACAAAGCCAGGAGCCTGGGGGCTGTGCAGCTGCAGCAGGAGGAAATGCTAGTTGATCTCTTGATAAGAGAGAAACAAAGAGTTCCAAAAGAGAAATGTTAGAGATGCTACTTCTTTCTCTTCCTTAAGCTGGAAGGCTCTATTCCATCAATGCAACTAGAAAAGGTGGGACCACAGTGGGTATTTAGGATTTCAAAGTCCATCCAACCAGCAAGTTCATGGGCAAAGCATACCATCAGTACCCTCTACTGGATGCCATTTATCATGGGGACAGCTACATGGTTTTTCTTTCCTGTTATCTCTCCCAGGCACCAAGTCACATCTTGAGACCTCAGTCCTGCTAGAAAGTGTGGATGTAAAGAAAAAAATAAACATGGCCTGGCGCAATGCCTCACGCCTGTAATCCCAGCACTTTGGAAGGCTGAGGTGGGTAGATCACCTGAGGTCAGGAGTTTGAGTCCAACATGACCAACATGGTGAAACCTCGTCTCTATTAAAAATACAAAAATTAGCTGGGCATGGCGGCAGGTGCCTGTAATCCCAGCTACTTGAGAGGCAGAGGTTGTAGTAAGCTGAGATCATGCCGTTGCACTCCAGCCTGGGCGACACAGTGAGACTCTGTCTCAAAAAAAAAAAAGAAAAAATGGAAAGAAAAGAAAAAGTGAAAGAGAAAAAAAATTTGGTCTCATCTTTCCTTAGTTGAAAGTGAAATTTTACCTCTCTGAACAAATGTTTTCCCACGTGAAATAAATACAGGAAGAATAAAATCTGCTGATAATAATAATAATAATAAAAGGTGGGAGTCATTGTAAGGAGCAGGCAGAATAAATGTGCATCTTACTTCGACAGTCCTGCCGGAGGGCGTCACCATAGTATCCAAACCGGCAGAACTGACAGTGTTCCCCTTCGGTGTGGTACAGGCACTTGAGGCACCTCCCGGTCTCCTTGTCACAGGCTTCTGGGTCTGTCGTGTCAATGTTGTTGTGACACTGGCAAGGCTGACACAACCCCCCAACTTCCGATGGATTGCCAAAGAATCCTGAGGCACAGTCGTCACATCTGGAACCTGTCACCCAATAAAACCAAGCACAAGATGTTTAGCTTATTGACCAAAAGCTCCCCAGTGCACAGACACTCATGCCTAGAGACAGCTGACCGTGGCAGTGCTTCATCTCCACTGCGCGATTTACAGAGCCCAGGGTGATCGCATCCAAAGGGGAAAGAATAGGCTTGAATTGTGAGGGGAAGGCAGTATTACTTTCAGTGGCAAAGACCACAGTCACTTTTGCGCCAATCTAATATTTTGTAGCCTCTAACAGTGCTGCAGCTGCCTCAGAGGCCACAGCGGGTATGGACAGTTATGAGAAGGGTCCTAGCACATGGGACTTTAGCTTCTGAGCACACAGGGTGGAAGCAAACTAACAAACAATGTGAAGTGTAGCTTCATGTTAAAATCCTAATCCAAGGATTACATTTTTTTAAGAGATGGGGCCTTTCTTTATCACCCAGGCTGGAATGCAGTGACATGATAATAGCTCACTGCAGCCTTGAATTCCTGGGTTCTAGGAATTCTCCCGCCTCAGCTTTCCCAGCAGCTGGGACTACAGGTTTGCAGCACTACACCTGACTAATTTTGTAAATTTTTTTTTTTTTTTTGGAGAGATGGTGTCTTGCCATCTTGCCCACGCTGGTCTGTAACTCCTGGGCTCAAGCAATCCGCCTGCCTCAGCCTCCCAAAGTGCTGCAACTACAGGCATGAGCCACCACATGTGGCCTAATTCAAGAATTACAGAGACTGAAAAGTTACCACTCCTCTGTGAGCAACCTGAAAAATGAGATCTTTAATGATGACCAATTTCCCTAAGAAATGCTGAAAGTATATGCAAAAAACATTTACTGAGCTACGTATAAGCATAAGTAGTATTTGTAACAGTGGCTTCAAGGATGAAATAAAAGGGAGTTTTTTACAACCCAGCTAGAGTCATTGAATCTTGGTAGATAATGTGAGTATCATAACAGTGAAGAATATATTCAGCCATCTGGTGATTCCCTGGATGATATTATTTTCTTTCTTCTGACCACTATTTGGTCACACAGCTTTGAGATACTTTTGCTAGGAGTTGGATAAAGAAAGGCAGGAGTAAAATGTAAGTTAATCTTTCTAATGTTTAATAACAGAAAAGTATTCCACAGGGTTTCCAGATTTTCACGAGCTTGCTCTCCTGCTTTGTGTTATAACATTCTTATCAGAGGCTCATGAATTGACTCTACCCTATGTGTCAAATAGGAAAAGAGCATCTCTTCTAACTTTAATTTTAAATTAAAGATTATAAAAGTGGACTTAATTGGTTCACTTTGCATCTTTTTTTCTCATTAACAATGAACTCATAAAGACATCTTTTCCTCCCTCTTTGCTTCCCAAAGCACACGACTTACCAATGTATCCAGGATCACAAACACAGGCAAGCTGTAAAGTAACAGGATCTTGGTAGCAGCTCCTGGCAAACTGGCGTCCACTGTCGGGACCATCGGGGCAAGGGCAAGGGCGGCAGTGATCTCCTGACCCAATGATGGGGTCGCCATAGTAACCAGCCAAGCACCTGCATCAGTCACAGAAGAGAGCAGGCCATGATCCCACAGTTCTAAGAAACCTGTTCCAAGGAAAGTCTTGAAAACTGTCCTGTTTGGGCACACTCTTCTCCACTCACTTTTTCTTTTTCTTTTTTTGAGACAAAGTCTTGCTCTGTCACACAGGCTGGAGTGGCACTATATCAGCTCAATGCAACCTGTTTTCCGGGTTCAAGTGATTCTCCTGCCTCAGCCTCCCAAGTAGCTGGGACTACAGGCACATGCCACCACACCCGGCTAAATTTTTTTTGTTTTTTAGATGGAATCTCGCTCTGTTGCCAGGCTGGAGTGCAGTGGCACCATCTCAGCACACTGCAACCTCCACCTCCCGGTTCAAGCGATTCTCCTGCCTCAGCCTCCCGAGTAGCTGGGATTACAGGCACCTGCCACCATACCTGGCTAATTTTTGTATTTTTAGTAGAGACAGGGTTTCACCATGTTGGCCAGGCTGGTCTTGAACTCCTGATCTCAGGTGATCCACCTGCCTCAGCCTCCCAAAGTGCTGGAATTACAGGAGTGAGCCACCACACCCAGCCTAATTTTTGTATTTTTAGTAGAGACGGGGTTTTACCATGTTGGTCAAGCTGGTCTCAAACTCCTGACCTCAGGTGATCTGCCCACCTCTCTTTATGTTTTCATGTGGAAGATTTACTATGGGAACCATGGTTCTCAAACTTTAGCTTCAATCAGAATCACCTGAAACAGATGACTGGGCTCCTCCCACCGACTTTCTGATTCAGTAGGTCCCCATGATACTGATGCTGCTGATCCAGGGATCCTACTTGCAGGACCACTGCGTTTGAGTGACACCCATGGCCTCACCTGGCCCCTCACTCACTGTTCCCCAGAGGATGAGCCACCTCTCCCCATGTGCACTTGATTGTTCCCTCAGCTGTCTGCCTGTCCTGACCATTCAGTTCTGCTCCCTCCTTGTGTTACGGGGTCTGTCCTCCTAGGGGTGGCTTATACCTGTCGGCCTCTGCCTATGCCTGGGAGGGGTGATGTGTTGGCAAGCCCACGGTGGCCACAGGTCTAAAGCCATGTCCTACAACCCAGCTTTTCCCAGTACTGGAGCTGAGGGGGTGCCAGGGGTGCTGTCCAGCTGTGTAGCCCCTGTGTTTGTCTCTCAGGTGGTTCCAAACTCAGGCAGGGATGGGGCATGTTACTTATTAGTTCCCACATCCAACACGTCCATCCCACTCTTTAAAGATAACAAATACATGGAGGTCAAAGGATCCTCAAAGTTTATACAACTAGTTAAATAATGAGCTAGAAGTTGAACTCGGTGTCCTTTTAGCAATACATTCTTTTACTATGTTAGCCTGCTTGTCAAGATGAATGGTATTAGGTTACTTTTTAATTTCCTTCAACATAACATCTTGAAGGAACTTTGGAGACAATCTAATCCAACCTAGCTATTCTACTTATGAAAAGCTGGATATTCCGGCCAGGTGCAGTGGCTTACCCCTGTAAAATGGCTCATCCCAGCACTTTGGGAGGCTGAGGTGGGTGGATCACCTGAGATTGGGAGTTCGAGACCAGCCTGGCCAAGAGAGATGGTGAAACCCCATCTCTCTTAAAAATACAAAAAATTAGCCAGGCATAGTGGCACATGCCTGTAATCCCAGCTACTCGGGAGGCTGAGGCAGGAGAATCGCTTGAACCCGGGAGATGGAGGTTGCAGTGAGCTGAAATTGCACCATTGCACTCCAGCCTGAGTGACAGAATGAGATTCCATCTTAAAACAAACAACAACAACAAAAAGCCTGTAGTCCCAGCTACTTGGGAGGCTGAGGCAGAAGAATTGCTTGAACCTGGGAGGCGGAGGTTGTGGTGAGTCAAGATTGTGCCATTGAACTCCAGCCTGGGCAACAAGAGTGAAACTCTGTCTCAAAAAAAATGTTTTAAAGCTGGATATCCTAATTCACCCAAGGTTAGAAAGCAAGTTAGAAGCAGAATTGGGCCAGGAACTGAGGTCCAAGGATTTCCAATTCAATTTGTTTCTCAAGTCTTTTGGAGGCAATCCAAATACATCATGATAGAAATTGTTCATTTCTTGCCTCCCCTTGGGAACAATCTAAGTGTAGAGTTTCTTTATAAATTCACAGGATTGAAACTGTGGTTATCTTGGAATGAGAAAAAAGAATGATGAGAAACTGGCTCAAACTAGATAGTAAAATTCCAAATACTTAAAATCAAGTGTTTGCCACCCAAACCTAAAATTAAAA